CTTTTTCTTGCATTTAATATGTATACACTATGTCCAAAGATACTGTGGTTTTCAAACAATTATTTTATTGTGTAAATATTTGCTAAAGCACAAGTAATAAGCAAAAATCTTTAAACATTTTGTTGGTATTTGTAATATTTAATATTTTAACATTTTAATATCTCCTGTTAGGAAGTCCACATTTGTTCAGGTTGGTAAGATGGTTTGACCTCTGATCGGGCATCTGCTCTGCTTTCAGGGTAGCAGCATTTCCATGCAGTTAACCCTACAAATGTAGTGCATGATGTTATAGCATGTTACCACCACCAAAGAAACAATTACTATTAATTGTCACACTCTCCAAACCCATCTCTAGATGACCATCAAACCTTGCTCACTCTTTTCATCTGGGAATTTGAAAGTCCTCTGTACTTGTGAAGTGAGGCTTGTATCACCCACAGGAGGTCCTTAAGCAAATAGGAGGTACCCTCTGATTAAGCCACACTCTTGTGCACCACATTAAGTTTTTCTCCTTGATTTCAGGATTAAGGTAAAATAACAAATCAATGCAGGTACTATGTGGTATGCCAAACACTTGCAGTGACTTTGGCACCAGGCATTCAGTAACAGTGATAAGAGATACTCAATGATTGTATAATCGTTGCAATTAGTATATTGACTGCTTAACAAAGAATGTGAGCGTTGTTATTCCCACTGTATAGATGAAGAAATTAGGGCAAAGAAAAGAGAGATGGAGAGACAGCAAGGCCATTGCCACATAGCCATCCACAGCCAGGAGGAAGAATAAGACTCAAAAATTATATCGTCTGTCCTAAATTGTTTAGCTCCTTCCAAAATAAGTGCCGACATCATTAAGAACATTAAGAACATTAAGAACATTAAGAACAAAATCTGTATAGCTGTTACCAGCAGCGGGGACAACAGATCCTTTTGCATAGAGCAAGATAGCTGGCCACCAGATATATCTCCTAGAAATCTGAGTAGCCATATGGCAATCATAGGGCAGATATGGGAAAAATCTCTTCTTCACAGAACGGAGGAAGTCACTCCCTCTGGAAGGTGGATGGTGCAAGAATAGAGGTATGCTGACCTGGAAGTGCCCTCATCATTTGAAAGGTGTCCATAACCTGAGGCTCCCAGAAGATGGCACAGCAGGGAAGCTGGAGAGTCTCTACCTTAATGCAGCCTGTGAACAGGATGGTTGGGGAGCATCACAACCACATGTCCTCTTTAGTACGTCTCTTCTGGACAGAAAAGGAGGTTCAGAAGGCACCCAAAGTCTTGCCTTGCCAGCAGATGAGGTGTCACATGGACCTAGCTGGTCCTCATGTGTTAACTCACCTTTGGGCACCTGTGTCAACCACTGTTTTGTTACACACCCTCTCTGCAAATGTTTACCAAAGCCTTGGAGAAGGGCTTAAGCAATAGTGCCTTGCTGATGGACAGAGGTAACAGGCCACATCTTCCACAGGTCAATCCCCTACTCAAGATGATGCAGCAAAACAGTTGTTGGGAGTGACTGGGATGACATTAGGAGATGCAGACACCAAATTTTTGAGGCAATTGCAAGGCTGCTTCTTGGAACAACTACTCCAGTGCCCACAAGAAAAGTTACTGTTATAGATTTGTTGGTCTTGTGTGGTTCAGAGGAACTAGTTGAAAAAAAAATTAGTAGGATTACTGCTTGGTTATAGTGACCATAGTAACATTAGGTTTAACACTCATGTGGAAGGCAGCAGGTCAAATACATCCAACATGAATATTTTATCTCAAAAAAAAAGCAAAAATGAGTACAAAGCAGCAGCAGAAGCAGTAAGAAATATGCAGGCTGCCTGGAGAATGATGAAAATGTGGTGTTAGAGACCCCAGGAAAATATTTTCCAAAAAGAAAACAAATGGCTTAAGAAAATCTCAGCAGAGCATGAAGAGCAAGCCAAGGGAGGCTTTCACAGGGAAGTGAGCAGTAGCAAACAGCAGTAAACAAGGGTCCAAAAGAGAAGAGAAGAAATTGCCATAAAACATAGTAAGTTAGAGAGGGCTAAAAGAGAACATGAAGATCACTTTGTAAAGGACACTAGAACTGATGGCCTCATTTTGAGCCTCCAGGTCTACAAAAGCCTCAGCATTCAGACAGATTTCAGATACAATTTGTGTTAGATGAGCAAATGTAATCAGACTAGCGTCTCATGTACTTTAAGGTCGGATTCTGCTCACCACTGCAAGGTGTAAATCAAGAGAAAACCAGCTGAAGTCATTGCACTAACTTCTGGTGTTACGAAGAGCAAAATGGCTATGGCTGAGCTTTAAAAGACACATGAAAAGGCAGGAGTGCAGATCTTGCAGTCTTCATCTCTCAATAACCCATTCCTAAAAGGTCCCAGGGTCTATTCTCACTGACCACCAGAAGCTTTAGGCAGATCAGGCTTTACTTTCCACTCTTTTTCACGAGGGGCACAATGGAAAATTCACCATTGATTTAACAGAGCAGAGATAGTTTAGTCCTCAGCTGTGGCAATATCACAGAGGCCCAGGAGGCTGTGCTGTAAAACAGGATATGGGTTTCCCCTCTCCTCTAACCGAGGGCTATGCAGGGTTATGCACATTGTATGTTTGCTTCTGATCCAGCTGCCACCGCTACAACTAAGCAGCATAGAGAAGCAGAATGTGGAAAGTGCACTTAAACCCCTGAGTATGACAACTGCTTTAGGGTCATATGTAGCACCTGAAAACTGCCCTTCCTGTCTTTGGTCACTCTGTGAAGGAGTCAGGCGACATCACCCTGCTCAAGCTCTGCTTTTACCTGAATCACAATGATTTCCTCATGCATCTGGTGGGGAATGCTGTATGACTGACCCTCCCAAATCAAGTGAAGGAGGTTAGTCCTCAAGCCCAGCTGTCTGAGCAGCCACAACATGTCTGTACCATGCCCATCTCTCCTTGCTGTCCTCACTTCTCGCAGGTCCATCTCTATCCTCAAACATTGAAGGAGTCATCTCACCAAAATTAGATGAACCTGCGGTCAGGGTGATCCAGATCCTGGGGGTGCCTCAACTCGCTTTCTATGGATTGTCTCGTTGGCTGCATTTCTCTGCAGACTCCAGTGACTGAAAGACGAGGATGAGTTGCAGTTGTCTAAACATAAGCATCTAGGATCATTTCAGTTCTTTTCATTTCTAAACTCGCAAAGGCCAGGGACCTTTCCTATCAGGCAACTTAGGTGAAGCCATTCTGCTTTGGAGGTTGAGTTTAACAGTATGGACATGGTCAGACTGTGCCTTTTGGCTTCAGGGACAAGGAATGAGCCTGGTGCTGGTTAGCTCACTAGCAGGGATGTGACTACCAAATACTTCTGTGCTCACCAAAGCAGTAAGAATAATTGGTATTGCCTACACTAACCACAAAGCCTGCTGAATGGAGCAGCTTCAATATAGCTCCACATTCATGGTTTTCTGCTGCTTCACATGCATTAGAAGTTGTGAACACGGGAAATGACTTTGAACAATATCTGATCTGTGGTGGGAAAAAGGAGCAAACATCTGAGTAAACATCTACCAGGTAAATCCCACCAAGACCTACTCCCTGACTATGACCCTCTGAGGAACCTCATCCCATAAAAGACACCGTATGTGCTTCCCAATGAGATGTACAGGATAATCATCTAAGAGCAAAGCTGCCTATATAGGTGTTCTTACCTATCTGAAGAGTAATTGTCATGAAGATTCAAAGAGCAGATACATGATATTCCACAGACACTCTAAACAAATTGCTGTGTCCCAACATACTGCACAGAGGTGGCCCAATGTGGTTTGTAAGCAGCTCAGCACACTTCCTGAGACACTGCTGCAATATCTTTAAAATGGTATCTTAATTCCTCATTGGGGGATGATAATAGAGAGGATTCATTGGACCTCCCCAGTTACCATCAAAGCCTCAAGAACTTTCTGATTGGCTCTTGAAAATTGTGAAGAGTAAGTATTCTTGTCCACCCGCCAGAAGCAGCACAAAGCTGAGCTCTGCGCCTGCATCCCAATGTACTTGGCTGGCTGAGACTGATCTACACAACGGTTCCAACCTAGAGCATCCTCTTACCTGGTAACAACCAAAATCTTCTCATTATTCAGCCTCTCCTAAAAAGTTCAGTCCTTTAAAAAATATATATCTGCATTACACAGTATAGCCTTAACTGTGTAGTTCAGACAGCTCTAGATACTTGGAATATCGGTAAGGGAAAAGAGTTTTTGTTGGATGCAGAAAGTGAGCTGAGCGGAAAGAAGCACAAACATCCAGAAATTTATCCTGAAAATCACGTAGCTCTTGAGGTAAAGGAAAACCAGCAGCCTGCAAGCAAGAATAGGGAGAAACAAGAATAGCAGTGAAAACTTTACTAAGGTTTTCTTATACTAATTTTAAAGGCGGTGGCTAGATGTTCCTGTAGTCCTGTAGTGCTTGGCAGCAGAACAAATGAGCAAAAATGGTTAAGAAACTGTATGTGTGAATGTGTACTACCACATCTGTAATACCCCTCACCTGCCCTGAATAGTGCAGAACTTAGACATTAGTGTCTGGATAACAAGACTAATAAGAGCTTCAGCTGAATATAATTACGTGGGAATTTTTTTTTAAGCTTGACAATTCAAGTTGCATTGCTTTGTAAAAATATAGCAAAAATGTTGTATTTTGCTTTATGGATGAATAGCTTTTAGTTCCATATAGCTAGCTGAATTATGGCAATGTAATCATTCTTCCCATTCTTCCTTTGACAAGGAAAGATATTATCAAGAATTATGAATTAATACAATAATTAAAAGAGGATTTAAAATTTGTCTTTCCTCGCAGAAATTTCTTTCTGTGCTGTGCTCCTTTTTGTACTGCAGGGAATTCATAAGATGATAGGTGTTATTATGTGTAGCACATTGCACAGACAATACTTGATCTGAGACCATATTTCTGTATTTCACCCCTTAGCTCCTAGTGCTTTCAGGGGGACAGCCCTTTTACTAATGTGTTGGTGTCATCCCTCTGTAGTGACGGGGATTCCCAGTTTGCCTCTACCATGAAAATCCTTTGCTTTCTCTTTGCCCTCCTCTTCGTGGTATTTCACGGAGCTGCAGGTAAGATGTAAATGAAAATGTGTGGCTATATTGAACCAACTGCAGGGCTCTCATAATGTCCTGTTGTCCACTCAGGAGGTAGCAGCCTCCTGCAGAGTAACTTCACATATATCATCAAAACTTGCCAGCAGATTACCACTGATACATGAAATTAGCAGACAGAAAGTCCAAGCAACAGTTCAGTGCCTTTACTGCACCTTTGAAAATCCCTTTAAGTTGGAAGAAATCCCCAATTATCATTCAGTACCAGCATTTTCCCCATTAAAGCTTATTTTTATTTGGGGTTGATCTCCAAAATAACTACCAAAAATAGGACAAGAGGAAACGGCCTCAAGTTGTGCCTGGCAAGGTTCAGATTAGGTGTTAGGAAAAATTTCTACACAGAAAGAGTAGTTAAACATTGGAACAAGCTGTCTGGGGAATGGTGGAGTCACCACCCATGGCAGTGCACAAGAAAAATGCAGATGAGGCACTTAGGGATGTGGTTAATTAGGCACAATGTTGAACGGCTGTTCGGGCTCCATGACCTTGAAGGTCTTTTCCAGTCATAATAATTCTATGACCCTATGGCAGTTGTCAAAGACAGGATGCTGGAAAAGTCGGTCTCTTGGTCTGTACCAGAATATTTGTTTTTATGTCCCTGTCTACACTAAATATGCATATAGTGTGTCTCTCTGGGTATTCTCAAGAAGGAAATTTGTCTGGAAGAACATATTCCTGAGAGCTGAGACCACTCACAGTTATCCCTGAAGTGTGCCACAGATAGATAGGTTTTTGAACCCCAAACCCCAGTATTCCTGGTTGGGAATTAGTGGGTACTACAATGTGTGCACATGTGTGGCGGATAGAGGGATACCTTGGGCACGTTGCACACTAGTAATATCCATGCTCGGTTTGCAGAAACATATTCTCTCACATATAACACCCAGACACAGTTTTGGGAATAGCACAGGCAAGTGGCCATTCCCAAGAGGCAGTTTGAACAGGGACACCCTATTTTAGTGGGGAAATAACTTTATGTGGACATGAGCAATACCATGGCGCTTGGATTTAGAACCAAGAGGAAAATCCTTTGCTTGCTTGCTTACCTTATTTGCCAGTATATATGTTGTCATTCTGCATGTGCCATTGAGTTTATTTGTGGATGATGCCCTACTTCTTTGGGAGTCCTGGGCTTAGAGACATAGCTGTTATACTCAAGGAAGGAATTAGAGCACTTGCTGAATTACTTTGCCCAAATTGCTCCTCCTTTACTATCACAGCTTTGGGATCTGGTGTGGTTTGGGTTTGGTCTCAGTGAATGGGTATTTAGGAAACACAAACCTCAGGCCTATCATAAATATGTGTCTTGCTTTTCTTATGGTCCAGGCTTTAATCCAACACTAGTAATTCCTTTGCGATGTGGATATCGTGGGACTTTCTGCTACGCTGGGAAATGCCCTCATGGCAATCCTTACCTGGGAAAGTGCGGTTCTAGGTATTCTTGCTGTAGATGGTAAGTTTAAGACTTTACTGGGCAAACCTGACTTTCCACATTCTCACCTTAAACTCAGGGTGTCTGCAGGGGCCCTGCATGCATTAGAAAACTTAGCAATCTCGCCAATTTATCTAGCTACATATCACTATTTCACAGAAGCTCAGCAACAAAATAATCTCATATGGAAATAGTGGTCATGGAGGGAACCCAGAAGATCTGAAATTAGTATAAAATTGGGAGATGGTTCTGGTTTATATATTGCTTTCATAGAAATGCAGTGATTTTCCTTATCATTATAGGACCCAAAACCTTGAATATTTTCCTTTGTGTAGGTTGTAGCTTGAAAAACTGCATGGACACTCCAGGGATCAAGGAATGATCTCCTCTCTTCTTGCATTGCTGGATACAGGGAACTGTTCTATCAGTCATCAAGGATTTGTCATTCTTTCAATAAAGGAAAATCTGAGGAGACTGGATTGCTGCTGTGTTTATTGTTATTCTTTTCTCTAGAAACATCCTTCATCTTTAGAAATTTGAAGTAAATATAAAGCAATAATTCTGAAAGCAGATTATACCCACCTGGAATGTTTATGTTATCAGCATTTCCTCCCATCTCAGGTTGCCATGCCAATAAATACTGTCATGTTCTCAACCCTTGACTGCTAAGAAACATTGGTTGTGGTCAAAGTTGGACTCGGTGAGCAGGGAGAATGACAGTTTACCCTGATGTGATGCTTTGCAACACATCTGCTGTGAACACTTCAAGTTCCATCCATTATTCCAGAGCTTTCACACCTGGGAAGAGCAGTCATGTTTCATTGTAGGAACTGAAATAGTAAAACCCACACTGAGCAGAACAACAGGAGTCAGGACATCATTGTTAGATTGTTAGATCCATTGTTAGATCCATCACATTCCCCCGGGAAAGTGATGGAGCAGCTCATCCTGGCTGCTCTCTCCAGACACATGGAGGAGAAGAAGGTGCTCAGGAGTAGCCAGCATGGATTCACCAAGGGGAAATCCTGCTTGACTAACCTGATCACCTTCTACGAAGGAATATCTAGCTGGATAGATGAGGGCAGAGCGGTGGATGTCATCTATCTGGATTTGAGCAAGGCTTTTGACACTGTCCCTCACAGCATCCTCCTGGGCAAGCTCCGAAGGTGTGGGATAGATGAGTGGACGGGGAGGTGGATTAGGAATTGGCTCGATGGCAGGGTGCAGAGAGTGGTTGTCAATGGTGCGGAGTCCAGCTGGAGGCCTGTACTTAGTGGTGTCCCCCAGGGGTCAGTTCTCGGTCCGGTCCTGTTCAACTTATTCATTAACGACCTGGATGAAGGGCTGGAGTGCTCCCTCGGCAAGTTTGCCGACGATACCAAACTGGGTGGAGTAGCTGATAGCCCTGAGGACTGTGCTGCCATCCAGAGGGACCTGGACAGACTGGAGGACTGGGCGGTGAGAAACCTCATGAGGTTCAACAGGGGCAAGTGCAGGGTCCTGCACTTGGGGAGGAATAACCCTGGACACCAGTACAGATTAGGGGTGGACCTGCTGGAGAGCAGCCCCGCAGAGAGGGACCTGGGCATCATGGTGGACGACAAGTTGACCATGAGACAGCAGTGTGCCCTGGTGGCCAAGAAGGCCAACGGGATCCTGGGGTGCATTAAGAAAAGCGTCTCCAGCAGGTCGAGGGAAGTGATCATCCCCCTCTACTCAGCCCTGGTGAGGCCACATCTGGAGACTGCGTCCAGTTCTGGGCTCCCCAGTACAAGAGTGATGCGGAGCTGCTGGAGAGAGTCCAGCGCAGGGCTACCAGGATGATCAGAGGCCTGGAACATCTGCCCTATGAGCAAAGGCTGAGAGAGCTGGGTCTGTTCAGCCTGGAGAAGAGGAGGCTGAGGGGGGACCTGATCAGCGTGTATAAATACCTCAAGGGAAGCAGTGAGGAGGAGGGGGGCGGCCTCTTTTCAGTGGTGGACAGGGATAGGACTAGAGGAAATGGCTTCAAACTGAAGCATCGGAAGTTCCACAGGAACTTAAGGAAGCATTTCTTCACTGTGAGGGTGACAAAGCACTGGAACAGGTTGCCCAGAGAGGTTGTGGAGTCTCCTTCTTTGGAGATCTTTAAAACCCGCTTGGATGCAGCCCTGTGCCACGTGCTCTAGGTGACCCTGCGTGAGCAGGGGGGTTGGACTCGATGACCTCTGAGGTCCCTTCCAACCTTCGGCATTCTATGATTCTATGATTCTATGATTTGGAACCTAATTCTATTCTTGGCTGTATTGGTCAGTGTAAATTTGGGGCAAATCTGCAAAAAATGATTGTTGACTACAGTAGATAATTGAGAAAGTAGAGTCAGACATATAATGTTGCCTAAGATGGTTAAATGACTTTTCCAAAAGGCTAGTACTTCTTCTCTTTCAGTCAATCATATCCCAAGAACTTTCTCCTGGAGTGTCCTGATGGAAAACTGAGAATATGCAGGTTGATCAGTGAGCTCCTCTTTCTCCCCAGCTGCTGCTCCAGAGCCCGTAGCACCCATGTGCAGACAGCTTGGCCTTCAGGCTTCATACCTACGGTTCTGAGATCACCTGGCAGAGCAGAGCTCAAGTGAGTGCAGCCAAATTCTCAGCATCTAAGCAGGATGGCTCTGTGTGTAATGCCTGTTAGCAACAGTCATACTCCCTCCTGAGTCAAGAAAATTGCAAGTTAGCCCTGACCAAAACTGTGCCATGAACTGAGCTAGCAATCTAGTCCAGGCCAACTATCAGTGTGCCAAAATAATCCTGGTCACAGTTTGGGGATTAGCAATATGGCCAGGTTGTCACAGTTACTCTTAGAGCACGTCTTAGAAAGGCAGGAGAATATACGGGACCCTGCAATATACTGGTAACTTGCCCTTAGTTCTCCCACTGCCTTTGTGGAAGTTGGCACTCATGGATGATCAGCAAAGGTGGGATCACCAGGGGCTGGATTTTAAGGGAAGCAACCCAAGTGTCCATACGCAGAGCATCGACACTAAGCCGAGAGCCTGGCATTTGTCAGGGATAATCTCATCTCCTTTCAGAGCAGATGTTTCTGCAAAGGACTCGGTTCTGCCATTGAAACCACAGGCTTGAGAAGGGCAGGAAACTGAGGCAACAGCCACCTCGCAAGAGAACCCTCTGGAGAGAAACTTGAGGAAACTGGCAACTGGAACAAACACAGCAATTTTCACTTTATGTCCTAAGAACTTTTGCTCAATCCACAGTAGCTGAATGTTTCTTGCACAGGCTTTGTACAGAGCCTGGGGATTTTGCAGGGAAAGCCCAGCCCTAGATATTTTAGATTCGGCTCTGGATACCATCCAGGATCTGTAGCCAGCATCTAGGAGAATGCTGTAGCATCATGCTTTGAACGCACAACCACAAATAACCTCCCCTGCACTGGTAGCTGGGGAATGGCTTCTAGAGCCAGCTCAGGGGTGAAAACAGGCCAAAACTTATAGAGGCAGAATTAGGGAATGGCTGGTCCTGCAGAATCGCTGTTTGTGCCACTAAGACTCTGATGCATCCTCAAGTGATGACTCTTGTCACTGTTACGACACAGACTCTCTCTCTGCAGTGGGTCTTGAAGATGCTGCTGCTTTATGGCACCAAAGGATGAAGACCAGAGATGTGCTCACCTCAGTGTCACCTCAGTGTCATTCAGGAGCGAATAGATGGAAAGTTTGTGCAGAGAATACTTTATCATCTGGGCTGGTTTTATCTTAATGTTAGATGGCTGATATAGATGTATGTCACAGCTGGTAATGCTAAGCTGTCTCTCTACACCATGGGAGAGAAATAGGAACTTTTAAAGTGGAATTCACCAGAAATATTTTAGACCTCACCATGAGGATTAAGTGACTTGTTTTCCTTCTGCTATGGAAAGAAGAGATGGAGGGGATTTGGCCCAAAACTTTGTCACAGCCAAAATCTGTTGGTGACTGTATGATTCCTGTCCCTGATTCCCCAGATATTTTATGTAATGCAAGTGTGTTTAGGGGAGAAACATTGAGACAGGAAACAGCACTGAAATATGTTGAGGTGTTGGAATATAAGTATATTTTTATAACAAATATATACATAATATAAAATATATACACATGATCTCTAGAGGTCCCTTCCAACCTCAACCATCCTGTGATTCTGTGATGAATCTGCAACAAAGGTGAAAAAATCTGCAATGAAGGTGACACCATTAGCATGTTGAGAATCAATGATAAATTAAATACAGCAAGCTCTTATGAGACAAAGTCATGATAAAAACTTGTCCTTTGAAGAACTGCCAGTTGAACAGGGATGTCATTACATGTGGCTTCTTCCTAGTAACTTTCAAGTGAAGCATAGAGCGCAAGTTTCGCTTGAAGAGAGGAATACAGAGCCGATTTGTGTTGTGAAAGCAGATTGCTTGCCAAGGTCTAACGAACAGCGGTGCAGTGTGTGCCAAGATGTGTCCAGCAAACCACAGCGCCAAACGTCTCTTATGCAAGGAGGGATGACACAAGACTCAGGGCTTGGAGGCGCTGGAATTCCTCTCAGATGTGTCAGAATATGAAAGCGATGCCTTGTACGCTATAATAAGAAAAAAAAAAGGAAAATGTTTTTTTTGGCTGGACACCAGCAGTCACGAGGGACACGGTCTGAGTGACAGACTGCGGAAACCAACTGTCCTTTGCCACGTGGAGGTGGCTGCTTGGGATCAAGCTACTGCTGCTGCGGCAAGGAGGCTGAGGCGTCTTCCACCAGGTAACTGGTAACACCCCTTCCAGAGAGGACCTCCTCTCTCCGCTGTCCTTTCCCTCTGGGAATGCTCCATGGGCAGCACTCAGGGGCTTCCTTGTCCATCTCTTCCCTGCTTTCTCTTCTCAGAGCTGTGACTCTCCCAGGTGACTTCCAGCTATGCGGGTCCTGCCTCTCCTCTGTGCTTTCCTCCTGATTCTCCATGGAGCAGCAGGTAAGACATGAATGAAAGAGGGATGGGTGAAAGCAGAGGGCTTTT